GGGGCTTTCCAGCCCTTGCATCTGGATTACCCGAGCATTCCCCATATCCTATCTGCTCCGTCGTCAGGCTGGTGTCAGACCCGTTATTTTTTCCTTTTAGAGGTTATTACTAAGCTTCTCTTTAAATAACTCCCTTTTCCGCACATTTCAATATTTATCCTCTCAAAACACTCGCTTGTAAATATTTCATCTGGCAGCTGTTGCTCTTCTTGCCGCTGTCAAAATTCAGCATGTCGGTGAGTGGGTGGCCGGGGGTGCCGGTGACACGCCATGTGCCACCTGCTGCCTGTCACCTGCACAAGAGGCAGCTGCGAGCCCACAGCTGCTTTTGGGGGAGCATCCCTTGCATGGCTTGTGCTGCTGCAGAGCTCCAGCACCCTTCCTCTTCTCTGAACCCAGCCGGCAGGGAGGGAAGCTGAAAATACTGTTTTAAAAAGCTCTATAAATGACATTTTGTCTTGCCTTTTGCCTGCCGCCTGCCTCCCTTTCTCCAGCCCCGGGAAAGGTGCCACCAGCACCCGGGGCTGCTGTCCCTGAGTTAGAGTCTATGGTAGTAACAACCCAAGCGTGTGCTGAACTGGCACATTCCTTCAAGGAGCTTTTCTGCTTGAAAAAATGAAAATATGTCAAGCAAATTTAAAACTTAAAATACTTTAGGTTTTATTTGTCTTTCAGCCCAGGGAGAATTGGATGAAAAATGTAAGGAATGGCCTGAGGTCTTTCCCTTGTCAGGGCTGTTTAAACCTGGGCTGTGCATGAGGCATCCTCTGAGGCTGGCCCCATGCTGAAGCAGAGCAGAATTAACCTCAGTTCTCTTCTTTATTTTTCTTCTTTTCCTTCCAAGCAGGACTGTATTCTGCTCCCAGTTGCTCTGGGGTAGAGGTGCCTGGAAGCAGGGCTGGGGAGCTTGGAGGGGGTTGCTGCAAGCACCCGGCTCCAGTGGGCAGCCCTGCGGCACCAAGTCCCGTTTGGTTTCCCAGGTGCAGAAATAGCAATTTTACACCCCAGCAGCTGCACCCACTGCTGGGTATGGCCAAGAGGGCCATGTCCAAGGGAGGAGGGATGCCATGAGCTGGCAGGCTCATGCCGACACTGCCTTTTCCCTGCTTTCCAGGAGGTTCCACCACTCCCTCACCGACAACAACCGCTGGATCCGGGAGCGGAGCCACGAGTCCTACGCCAAGAACTACTCCGTCGTCTTCCCCCACGATGAGCCGCTGGCGGGGCGCAACATGAGGAAGGACCCCCTGCACGAGGTGAGGATGAGCACCCTGACCCAGGCTACTGTGCAAGGAGCGAAGGGAGACCCTTGCACCATCCTTGCTGTAAAAAAGAGGTGGCAAAGAGTGGCCACAGCCACGTCACTCCCCATACCAGCGTGCTGCATCCTTCTTCCATCCATCCATGCTGGGGAGACACCTGCTGAATCCCAGAGCTCCCCAGGTGCATGCTGTGAGGGCGCTGGGGCCGTGGGCAGTTTAATGGTAGAGATGCTGAATGTTCCCGTAACATTTAGTTTAGCAGATTCGGTTTAAGAGCCCGGTGATGGTCTCTGGACAAGAGAAAAGTGGAGAGGAGGGCTCAGAGGTTTTTTCATTCGCTGCCAGTCCGATTCAGGGGCAGTTGCAAGGGCTGTGGGATGCTGGATCTCCTGCCCTCAGTTCACCATGCCTTGCTTACAGCTCAGCAGCGTCTTTTCCTCCCCAAGATAGCATCTTGCAATCCAGAGTGGGGCTGGGGCACCGGGGTGGGGAAATGGAAGAGTGGGGAGCAGCTGTGCCTCCATGAAGACAGGTTTGCTAGCACCCCCTAAGTCCCCAATGGTTTTGCTCCCTGGATCTGCCAGCTCCTCCCTGCTCTCACCTTCACCAGCTGCTTCCTTGCACAAATCTCCAGAGGTGAATTCTTTCAAGATGCAGCACAGCGGTTCTCTGCATCAGCAGCATTGCAGCAACTGCAGCTCAGAGCTGCCGAAATCACCCCCAGCTCCTGAGGTCCTCGGCGTGATCTGGGGCCGGTGCCTCGTCCCACTCCATCACTGCCAGTCCCAGCCCCAGAAATGAGCAGCCTCATTTCTTGAGCCCGTTTCTGCCTGTTGCTAATTCATATCGCATCATCCCTCTTCTGATGGAGAGCAGAGGTTCAAGCAGTAAAACAGACATCCCTCCCCGCCGTCCCCCGGTGTTTGGTTGACAGCTTGGTTGTTTTCTGTCACCGAGGATGCAATTTATTTTTTAATAGCATGTCTAATAAGCGATGCCCATTTGACTGACAGCCTGGTATTTATACATGCAGCTCCAGAACATGTGCCGTGTTTTATAAATAGGCACTGAATCATTTCTGAAATGTTCAACAAATTCTATTCTTTTCCGAACAGAGGCACCAAACAAAAATATCTTAATGGATCCCTAATTAATAGCGCGCAGAGAGATTTTCCTGAGAGCATAGAGGAGGAATGAGAAGGTTGCTACATAAACCTTAGATGTTATTATATAATTACTCTCGTAAATATTGAGGGGAATCTTGCTCTCTGGATTTAGCATCTCTCAGTCAGTAATTTGTGCGCCATAGCGTGAGCGTTGGTGGAGTGCACAGCTGGGCTGCCCGTTGGCTGCTGTTGAGGCAAATACCTTTCTTGAGGGGACAAAAATATCCGCCAATTTGCAGGCAGCTGGGGTTTGCCACTGTTTTAAAGGACAAACCACAGAGCTGATTTTGGCTGCTGATAGCCAAAGGGGTCACAGGTTGGGCCTTGAGCACACGCTCCAGGCGAGCAGCCTGGGTGCTGCTCAGAAAGCAGGGAAAAAGGCTTTTTCTTAACCGTTTTTTCCCATTTCTCTGGCTTTGCTTGCATAGGAACTGCTGCGGCAGGGCTGCGTTTTCCAGGAGCGACACGGCTGGGAGAGGCCCGGCTGGTTCAGCCCCGGGGGAGCAGCCCCGGTAAGCAGGGCACACGCGTTTCGGGGACGTTCAGCCCGGAGGGTACCAGCCGTGCCGGGAGCGAGTGGGCTGTGCCCTGCGGTGTACAGGCTGTGTGATGTGCTGCAAGAAGTTGCAGGTTCCACAGACGGGTCCATAAAAGCTCTTGGGATTTAATTCTCTCTAGGAGTGGTAGGAGGGAGATCTGTGTGTCTGTCTGCCTGTCCCTCAGCAACAGGCAGCATCTGCCTGCGATGCCCCCAAACATGAGATCCTGGGAGGTCCCCAGGCTGGGGACCCATGGCTGCGGGCAGGGATGCCAGGCTGGGGACCCATCACCACAGCCACGTCCTGCACAGACCTGCTCCTCTCCCAGCATGGGCTGAATGTGACTTGGAGCAGCCCCTTGGTTTCAGCCTCACATCATCTTCCTCACTGCCCCCATCCTTCCATATTTTCTCCCCTCGCCAGGTGCTGGATTACGACTACTATGGCGCGTATGGCCAGGAGCGTCACAGGGACTACACCTACAACCGGCTGCTGGGGGACGAGTACACCTTCGACTTCCCCCCCCACCATGACGTTGTGAGTGCAGCGGGGGCAGCCCTCCCCAGCCAAAACAGCTGGGCACATCTGGAGCTGGGAGGCAGCAGAGCCTGTGCTGCACTGCCACTCGGGTGGAGTTGGTGAGGCTTGGAACAGGGGGAAGCAGGGAGCTTTGCCCAAAACTGGGGAAAATGTTCCAAAAGGATTAAGGGAGTTGCATGGCCCATGCTCAGAAAACCTCAGCAGGGAGGCCATGAGGGTTTTACTGCTGCTTTCCCAAATGAAAAAGTTGAGGCCAGCTTGGGGGAAATACCCAATTTCATAAAATTTAACTATTGTTATTGATAACTGCCACTGTGTTAGTGAGGTAAGGAATTGGACTGAGCATACACAATAGCCTGTCAGACTTGCTGCATTTAATACATGATTTTTCAGGAGTATTTTGAAGCCTTGCAGCCTTTAAAGGCACCAAGTGAGTGTCCTGGTATTGTTTCTCATTACATAAATGGTTCTGATATGTGCCTCCCTTTGTGGAGTGAGAACATGGCTCGACTTCAGCCATGTGTTTGCTGTAATTGCAGATCAAGAATGAATGCTTAACGTGCAGAAATGCCCTGGCTCTCTTCGACATGTCTTATTTTGGGAAATTCTACCTGGTTGGGCCTGAAGCAACCAAAGCAGCAAACTGGCTGTTTACTGCTGATGTGAGCAAAGCGCCAGGTACCAGCCTTTATTTCAGCTCCACCTTGCTTCTGCTGGGAATTCACATTTTATGCCAAAACAACCAGGGGGGGGACACCTAAACTGGCTTTTCTTTTAAATGCTACTTTTGCAGGGGGTATGGGAAGCACTTGAGGGTGACTGCTTTCCTCGTGTTCACTGGAGGCTGGGTTCTGCTCTTGTTTGCACTGGGACAAATGTGCTCTGAGCCAGGGGTCTGGCCCTCTGGCTCCAGCTGTGGCTCACAGCTGGGGATGTGATGGGTAAGAGGCCGGGGCTGTCTGATGGGCACCGGTGCCATTCTCCTTCCTGCAGGTTCGACTGTGTACACCTGCATGCTGAACAAGCAGGGCGGCGTGGAGAGTGACCTGACCGTCAGCCGCATCAGCCCAGGGGACCCAGCCTCTCCCTTGGCCCCCACCTTCGAAGGTAAAAGCCCTGAGCGTGGGGAT